GCCCGCTTTGGAGATTCACGCAACAGACAGTGTGGAGCCATCAGTCTGACAGCGGTGTTGAAAAGCAAGATGAAGAACGTGCTGACATGGACGACACAAGATCTCGATGGTGTCTTGGTTGCAGGAACACACCTTTACCAGTCTTTAAGAAATCAGGGTAACATAAAAGACCGGGAAGTCAAGGGTAGGAATTACATTGCGGTCCATGAATTACCAAGGAGACATGTGCTGGGTAATGCTGCATTTTCCATCGAGTACACTCAGTCTCTGACTGGTTTTGTTAATGTCAATGAGTACGATGAAGCCATAAGCGGTGTGGCCATGCCACTTGATGTAGCCCTTCAGCAAGCTCTACTGAGTGCTGATGCTTTCCTGTTAACTATTTGTGCCAACACATCTGCAGTTATTAAGCAGGGCTTATGGTATGCAGTTGTTGACTCTCATGCTATCAAAACAGAGACAAGTTGTGTTGCGTATCACAGATCCATAGAGTCTTTGTACAACTATATTAATGACATGGCACAGTTATTTGGGGAACCTGAGCCACCATTTGAGATAACTGGAGTTTTGGTTCATGCAGAAGTTTGTGATCTGTTGGAACCATCAGGCGGCAGCAGTTTTCCATGCTCTTCTGGTAAAGCCCTTTACAGTGAAGTCTTAAAACGCACACCCAAGGTATGTGAATCTGTGAAAACTGAGGTAAGGACATCTGATTTTCAAGTACCTGTGGATGAAGTTGCAACTAACCTTCCAACGCAGACAGCCTCTAACGTGTTGCCAAGTAAAGGTAAAAGGGGGAGAAAAAGAAAGCAGAATAAACTCTCAGATAAACAGGTTACAAAATCACATGCTGAAACTATTGTAACAGATGACATAATCATCACTGATGTTTCAGTTCCAGACTTCTTTTTTTCTCCTTTAACACATAATGATCTGCAAGCTTTATGTGAGCTTATGCTTCTGACAAATGATAACACTGATCGTAATGTCATAAACTTTGGTCCCATTGCAGGTCCGTGTCAGACAAAGACCATTAAACCAGATGGTAACTGCTTTTTCAGATCGTTGGCACATGTGATATGTGGAAGCGAGGACAAGCACTTGAAGATTCGCCGTGCGGTTGTCAAACATCTGAAAATGAATACTTTGCTGTTTGAGAGGTACGTCAGAAGTGAGTATTCTTCAGTAGAGGATTATTTGACACGATCTAGAATGTTTTATTCTGGCACATGGGTAACAGAAATTGACATATTCGTTTCGGCCGATCTTTTCAAAACCACTATAATGACTTTTAATGATGGCCGATGGAATGCACACAAACCTACTGGAGAGGTATTTACACTGAATACTATTTATTTGAAACACTGTAATGGTAATCATTATGAAGTTGTGACATGTGTTAAGCATAGAGATCGGGACGGTGTTTGTGCAGGAGCATGTGGAAATGCAGTGTCAAATGAGGTGAGCAAGCCATGTCTGTGTAAAAGAAAGGTAAGCGATGCTGCACAATGTTCTCCTATCAAAAGGCATAGGAAGAGATATTGCAACGACAGTGAGTACCGACAAAAACAACTGAGGTACAAGAAGTCAAAATATTGTAATGACCCTGATTATAGGCAGAATAAAATTGACTATGCCAAAACAAAATACTGTAGTGATAGAAATTACAGAGAGAAAAAAATTGAAATTCTTCGAGAAAAATATCTAAAAAATTGTGTTCGTTTGTCAAAGTGTGAACATTCTAAGGCCAACTACTCGAGCAATATTCAGTTTCAAAAACGTGTTTGCCAGTATTCGCGATTAAAATATAAATATAATGTCTCTTTTCAGGCAAATGTATGTGAGTATTCGAAGAAAAAATATCTGCAAAACCTGGCCTTTAAGCAAGAGTGCGTGAGTATTCTGTGATGAAATACCATAAAGATGTGAACTTTCGTGCGAGTACAATACAAAAAGGTTGTGAAATGTATGCAAAAAAGAAGGAACAGAAAGACATTGATGTTGCTATTGATCGTTTTAGACGAGAAGTTAGTAGAGGTCCAGAGTTTGTGTGCTCTGTCTGTCACCGTTTACTTTTCAGAAAGCAGGTTATTGAATGCAGATTGAATGCTATGAAGATAAAGGAGAAAAAATTGCTGGTTTGGGTAGACTATGCATCACAACCAGATATGTGCATGTTTGTGATGAAAAGTGTGACCCGTCTTCTGTTTATTCCTCAGGGTGCAAATTATGGATTTGTCTAACGTGTCATCGAAAAATCCTTTGTGGAAAACTGCCAGAAGAGAGCGTTGCCAACAACATGCATTTGGTAGACATTCCAAATCAACTGAAACGTCTCAACTCATTGGAACGACATCTCATTGCACGTAATATTCCTTTTATGAAGTTACTCTGCCTTCCCCGTGGTAAACAACATGGATGCCATGGACCTGTAGTCTGCGTTCCGGTAAATATCCTTCCACGAAATGAATGTGATGATAAGGATCAAACTGAAGCGCAAGCTAACCTATAAAGGCCATTATGAGTACAAGTATGTACACACTGATCATGTTCGAAATGCTCTGAAATATTTGATCAGGTTCAATAAGTGGTTCAGTGATGTGGAGATTAATGAGCAGTGGATCAACTCCTTGAATGAACCTGAAGAAAATGTTGTAGATGAAATCAAGCAACAAGATGTAGTTGAAAAGATTGATGATGAAAATGACCCTGATGAACAGCCAGAGGAAGACCTGACCTACATCAAAGAGCAAAGTGGTCTTTTGTCAGATACATCATTGCAACCTGTGGACATCGGTTCAGAAGTAATTGATCAGCATTTCCAGGATGTATTAAATCTGGCACCGGCTGAAGGTAACAGTCCTGTTAGTTTATGTGATGGGTCCAATGAAGCAAAATGTTTCCCTGTTCTCTATCCAACTGGTGGTCCAACGTTTCATGATAGGAGGGAGGTAAGAATTACATTGTCGAGATACTTGAATGCAAGAATCCTCAGTGCAGATGGACGTTTAATGCTCTGAAATATTTGATCAGGTTCAATAAGTGGTTCAGTGATGTGGAGATTAATGAGCAGTGGATCAACTCCTTGAATGAACCTGAAGAAAATGTTGTAGATGAAATCAAGCAACAAGATGTAGTTGAAAAGATTGATGATGAAAATGACCCTGATGAACAGCCAGAGGAAGACCTGACCTACATCAAAGAGCAAAGTGGTCTTTTGTCAGATACATCATTGCAACCTGTGGACATTGGTTCAGAAGTAATTGATCAGCATTTCCAGGATGTATTAAATCTGGCACCGGCTGAAGGTAACAGTCCTGTTAGTTTATGTGATGGGTCCAATGAAGCAAAAACTGTGTTCCAAAAAGAAATCTATTGTCCTAAAAAGAAATCCAAAAGATGTCTGGGTGAACCAATATAACACATTTACTGCGTGCCTGGCAAGGCAACATGGATATCCAGTATGTCACAGATGCTTACTCTGTAGTGGTTTACATTATTAGTTGCATCACAAAAGCAGAGCAAGAAATGGGACTGTTGCTGCAACGTGCACAAAATGAAGCCATGAATGGAAATCTTGAAGCGAGATCATCATTAAAAATGCTTGGTAGTGTATATCTTCACAACAGAGAAATTTCTGCTCAAGAGGCTGTGTATCAACTGACAGGTATGCACTTGAAGGAATGTTCTCGTAAAGTCCAGTTCATTCCAATTGGATTGAATCCTGTAAAGATGAGTTTGCCTCTTCGTGTTATCAAAAACAAAGATGATCAGTCTGGTGAAGAAACTAGCTTTTGGATGACCAGTCTGGTTGACCGATACAAGAATAGGCCAAACACGCAGGAGTTTGAGATTCAATGTCTTGCAAGTTTTTGCTCTGAAAACAGGATATTGTCAAAATCGGAGGTTTCTTCACAAAAAAAGGCCTCAGAAGACAAGGTGATTAAGCTTAACAACAACTGTGGCTATATAATGGAAATCTTGAAGCGAGATCATCATTAAAAATGCTTGGTAGTGTATATCTTCACAACAGAGAAATTTCTGCTCAAGAGGCTGTGTATCGACTGACAGGTATGCACTTGAAGGAATGTTCTCGTAAAGTCCAATTCATTCCAATTGGATTGAATCCTGTAAAGATGAGTTTGCCTCTTCGTGTTATCAAAAACAAAGGTGATCAGTCTGGTGAAGAAAGTAGCTTTTGGATGACCAGTCTGGTTGACCGATACAAGAATAGGCCAAACACGCAGGAGTTTGAGAATCAATGTCTTGCAAGTTTTTGCTCTGAAAACAGGATATTGTCAAAATCGGAGGTTTCTTCACAAAAAAAGGCCTCCGAAGAAAAGGTGATTAAGCTTAACAACAACTGTGGCTATATGATGAAGAGAACTCGAACTGAACCAGCAGTTGTCAGGTATCCGAGATTTTCTCCAAAAAAAGATCCCGAAAAGTACTTTCATTCATTGTTACAACTTTTCTTACCACATTACGAAGACTGGCAGCTCAAGCCTCAGAATTTTACCACTTATGAGGAATTCTACAACAATGGTGCTGTGAAATGTGGAAGTAATGTGACCGAAGTAAAATGTATTGTTGATGCTAATCGAGGACTGTTTGAAATGGAAAGTGACAAAATAGATCGGGCTCAATAGCTTTTGGAGCAGGGTGTTGATTTGGAAGATGCTTGGGCTGCATTATGTCCTGAAACGGAAAAGGAACGTCATGAATGCGTAGAACTAAGGAAGAGTAACATAATTCCTGATGAAGATGATCCTAAGTCTTCTATTCCAGATCTTGTAGCTAACCCTCGAGTTCCATACCGTATTGAAAGCAACCATGCTGGAATGTCTAGAGACGAGGCGTTATGTTTACTAAGATCATTAAATACACAACAGTCTGCAATCTTTTACAAAGTGCGGAAATGGTGTCTAGAGAAACTTCTTGGAGAAAACCCTGAATCATTTCACTTGTTTGTTACTGGTGGAGCAGGCACAGGGAAAAGCCATTTAATCAAAGCGATATACTACGAGTTTTCCAGACTTTTATCTCAGCTGTCTGACAACCCTGATGATAGAAGTGTGATTTTAACTGCATCGACTGGAGTCGCTGCGTACCAGATTGGTGATTCCACCGTCCATAACACACTTTCCATAGGTGCTAATGTCAAACTGCCATATCAGCCACTAAGCGATGACAAAATCAATTCACTGCGTGCAAAAATGGGAGGTTTGCAGATTCTGATCATCGATGAGGTGTCCATGGTTGACCATCACCTTTTGTCATATGTTCATGGGAGATTGAGACAAATTAAGCAAACTGGTGACTACTCCATTTTTGGAAAAGTCAGTTTGGTCTGCGTTGGTGATTTTTACCAGCTTCCGCCTGTCAAGGGAATTCCCCTGTATGTTGATCCAAAAGGAGTGAATCTTTGGGATAACAACTTTGAAATTGCCGAACTAACACAAGTTGTTAGGCAACAAGATGCATCTTTTGCTGGAATGTTAAATCGTCTTCGAATAGATAAAAAAAAGAAAAATCTAAACCCAAGCGACATTAACATGTCGAAGCAATGTGAAACAGGCGAAGAATGTGATGCTATTCATATATTTCCTACAAATGCTCAGGTTGATGAATACAACATTCAGAAACTCAATGAGCTTTGTCCTGAGGCAATCACTATTCGATCTAGAGATTTTGTGAGAAATCCACAAACTGGAAGAATAGAAGCTAAAGCTGGATTTCATGCAAAAGTTTTCAACTCCTGTTTGGACAAATGTGTTTCCTTGGGTGTTGGAGTGAGAGTAATGCTAAAGAAAAATCTGGATGTTTCTGATGGACTTGTCAATGGAGCCTTTGGCACAGTTGTCCACATAAGCAAAAAACAAAAATGTGGTGATGATGGTTATGATGACTTTCTAGCAGCTATTCATGTTGAATTTGATAATCCAAATGTTGGTCAAATTCACAGATCAAAGCAACGACAGAAGTATTCCCCAAATTCTACTGTTATTGAAGCGGAAGAAGACCAAGTCACAAATGATGGTGGTTTAAGACGTCAGTTCCCACTTAAATTGGCATGGGCATGCACCGTTCACAAAGTGCAAGGACTCACAGTAGACAAAGCGGTCGTCTCACTTGACAAGGTATTTTGTCCGGGACAAGCGTATGTTGCACTGAGTCGTGTGAGAACCCTCGATGGACTAATAATTAATAACTTCAAAGAGTCTGCCATATATTGTAATGAGAAAATCGACTCCGCTATGGAAAACATGCTCCGACTTCCTTTAGAAAATCACAGTGTCATAAAGACACCTGATAGGTTTACAATTGCTCTTCATAATGTACAAAGTCTTCGAGCTCATGTTCAAGATATTCAAGTTCACGGACAGCTAATGAATGCGGATTGTATCTGTTTAACTGAAACTTGGCTAAAAGTTGAAGACGATGTGCAGATTTGTTTTTAAGAACAATCCGAGATCGGAGTGTTATGACGAGAGCACTCCACTTTTCACTGATTTAAAACGACAAAGAGGTGGTGGAGTTGGCGTATTCTGTTGTGAAGGCATTCATTTTAACGTCATCATTCCAGAACCTTGCAACTTGGAATGTCTATACTTTGCAGTTCCACATATAAGTTTGAATGCTGCTTTGGTGTACAGGCCTAATTCATATCCACTTGACATGTTTCGACAAAATATGTTGCATGTTATTGATGAGCTGGGGAAACATTCAGGCAAGAAACTAATTATGGGAGACTTCAATGAGGACATCTTGACATCATCTACAATTGGAACATTAATGGGATTACATGGATACAGTCAACATGTGCAACATCCTACGACTGAGAAAGGAATGCTGATAGACCATGTCTGTGTTAAAGATGCAGAAAACGTTTCAGTCGAAATCGTGCAAACCTATTACAGTTACCATCAGGCAGTACTGATACAGGAAGGCAGGCTGAGGCAATGATTGTGACGTACTGAAATCATTATAACTGCGTTCTCTTTTCTTTTCGGTACCCTTACTGTGCAATGTTCATTCTGAGATTTCAATGGGCATACAACTGGAGAACAAGTGTATAACTTGAGACGGTATGTTCTTAGACTACCTATATCTGAATGACTCCTATAATGATCCATCAGTTAAATCATCAGTTGAATGTATACAGATGTTCCATGTTATCAATGAAGGTCTATCTGAAGGCAATCGGTTTTATTTGTGCAACACACTGAAATGAGAAAATTGTATCACTGTATTGTCTGTTCCGTTTTTGTGTCCATACCATGTGAACACTATCCTGAGATTCCAAGATTCACGGAGTCCGGTCAATCCAGCCTCAAATTCAAACTAGTGATCGTCGTTCACAATCCTGCATCTCCCATAACTGCTCTTCTTTCTTGAGCTAATAAGTTTTATCCAGCTAAGGTAACTGTAGTATTTCATTTCTATTCAGATTTATATGTTTAGATTTCTTTTTTTAATTTAGTTTAATTTTCCTTTTAAGATATTTTTCTAGTTTTTTTTTTTTTAAACTGACATCAAGTATATTACATTTACTAAAGTATTTTGTTATTAATCTAATTTCAGTCATATCCTAAGCCATCCAAACAATACTGGATGTTTCCCAACATCATAGGAGCATCCAAAAAGACTGCCTGCATCCATCCAATTGTCTCCTAATATCACAATTAAGTTAATAGAACAACCAAAGAATGGTCCAGATTTACTAAAATCTACAAAAGTAAGTTTACTAAGGTGTGCCTAGTTATATAAACATTTACTGTTTGAAATAAAACGTTTTAAAGGCATTGTTAAATTTATCAGCTATATGCAAGTAACCACATGCAAGTAATCTTTTCAGACATATGAAATGCACTGAAGTCATAATTTCCCCCATACAAGAGATTCTATACTCCATCCAAAACGTCATTCTATTCTCCAATAACTCCTATGAGGAAAACAACTGATAAAAAGGTAAATGTAGTAGTGTAATGTCTGCAAAACTTCAATTTATTTATTTCTTAAAGCGCTGTTTCACCCTAATAACAATGCATTTCCAGGTTTATGCATCAAAACTCAATCACTACTGTCCACTACTCTCAAAAGGTGAGTGTAGAGATGGTGTCTACATTAGTTGCAAAATATTTTTGTTGTGTAAACCCTTTATCAAGCAGTTAATATTCCATGAATGTATTTTCAGATTTCTGCAATGAGCTACACTTCTAACTTCCTCATCCATTATATGATTCTCTGCTCCATTAATTATTTTTATAAAGAAGCACACAACTGATAAAAAGGTAAATGTAGTAGTGTAATGTCTGCAATACTTGAATTGACTCATTTCTTCAAGCACTGTTTCACCTAATAATACATTTTCAGGTTTGTGCATCAAACCTCAACTACTGTCCACTGCTGTCAAAGGGTGAGTGCAGAGATGGTATCCACATAAGTTGCAAAATGTATTTGTTGTGTAAGCATTTCATTTACCAAGCACCTAATGTTCTATTAATGTTTTTTTTGTTTGTTTGTTTTTTCTTTTAGATTTCTGCAATGCACTAAACTTGGAACTTCCTCCTTATCCAATATGTAATTCTGTGCTCCATTAACTATTTTTATAAAGAAGCAAACATCTGATAAAAAGGTAAATTTAATTGTATAATGTCTGCAAAGCTTAGATTAACTTATCTTTGAGCGGTAAAGCAATAACAATATTCTTTCAGTTATGTGCAGCCCAACTCCATAACTACTGTCCACTACTATCAAAAGGTGAATGTAGAGACTGTCTACATTAGTTGCCAAATGGTTTTGTTGTATAAACACTTTATCAAGCAGTTAATGTTCCATGAATGTATTTTCAGATTTCTGCAATGAGCTACACTTCTAACTTCCTCCTTATCCATTATAAAAACAGTTAATGGAACAGATATTCATATAAAGAAGCACACATGTGATAAACAGGTAAATTTAATAGTCAGCTTAATTTTTCAAACTTGATATGCTTTGATGACTTTAGTTTATTGATTTTCTGATTCTCTTTTTTTACAGTGAAGACAACCATTGTCAACTATCTATTCAGAAAATGTCCCGACAAAACTCTAAACTGATGCAGGCAGTCAATATTCCGTTATTTCACAAATGAATACATAATCACAGAAGTAACACAATTATATATAAAATATTGGATGGATGACTTGTATTATATTTAGCCTATGTACAGTAAATTTATTTGGTGCCAGCCAAAGGAGGATGGCCTTCCCCTGCTGAGTCTGGTTCCTCCCAAGGTTTCTCCCTATACCACTCTGCTGATGATGCTCCAGCACTCTGCCCATGATGCTCCTCTTCCCTAATTTAGGGAGTTTTTCCTTGCCACTGTTGCCTTCTGGCTTGCTCACTGGGGTATAAAGGCACAATATTTTCAATGTAAATGGTGTAAAGTCTTTGTTTTTCTTTGTTTTTTGTTTTTTTTACAAACATGGATTAAAATGTACTTTTGTCCTTGCAGTCATGCACTTCCATTTACTCTACCAATGTCTTTTATGTTGAATTGATCTATATTAGAAATTCTGTGTAGTATGTTCGTTTTGTTCCCCACACAATAATTTGGTTTCTTAAATAAAAAAAGAAAGAAATAGACCTCATCTGTGAGAGCACAATTCTTATCACACGGTGTCACATAGAGGATACATGATAACGGGCAAAACTAATTTAAAAGTAGTTCTCTTAACATACAAAATGTACATCTTTATCTTTTGCATTCAGTTTATTTATTGCTTGTACCATTAAACATGGAATTTGGGGAAAAATTAGTTAAAATATTACATTTAGTGTACACTGATTTAAAACATTCTGTATAACTTCAATGGTTATCCCAGTTGAGTTTCTTGTGTGAAATTGAAAGTTAAACTAAAAGCAGTTTTGAAATATATATTTTTTATTTCAGTGATACTCTACATGGAACAGGCAAAAATTAAATGCTTTGCTAAAGTATATAATGGCAGTAGCTGACCCACTCAATACACATTGGTATCTTTGTTTAAAACTGTCAATTTAACAGCAAAAATCATAAAAAAAACATTCGCTGTATTGCTGCACAGATGTTCCTGTATTGCTGAACAGATGAAGAAACTATACACATGTTCTATTCTATTATAATGTCACCCCACACAAGAATCAAACTAGTGACCTCATCTGTGAGAGTACAATTCTAATCACACGGTCACATAGGGCATACAGTCACTGTAATGTTGAAGATATGCTTAAATATGAAAAGCAAAACAGAGGAGCAAGCACTAACTTGCATGTTAGCCAAGAATGTTCATGAAGAATAGAGTGTACATAAAAAAACAGATGGGTTCGGAAGTACAGAAGTTCTAAAATTGAAAAGAAGTTCACATGAGAATGACCAAAACCACATTTCTGACTCAATACAAACGGAAAAACCAATGTCTGGAACAGAAGCAACATTAGCCACCCTGGATTCAAACCCACGACTTGAAAGGTTCGAGAGCTGTGGCTTAGCAGAGTGCACTACTCAGTCTGCACAATTTCAACAGGCTGCAGAAGAGAGGTTAAGGTTTCCTATGATAAAACGGCAGAAATGGAACATACATTAAAAACAACAGATCGCTTCAGAAGTACAGACGTTCAAAAACGAACAGAAGTTCAGATGAGAATGACCAAAAGCACGGTTCTGATTCAATATGAACACACACGGAAAATCCAACATCTTGAACAGAAGCAACATTTGTGCCACTTCTGGCCACAGCACCTCTTGCAGTCTGTGCACATGCCACCCTGGATTCGAACCCACAACCTGAAAGGTTTGGAGCCAGTGGCTTAGCAGGGTGCACCACTCAGTCGATGCACATTCAACAGGCTGCTGAGGAGAGGTTAAGGTGTGAGAATGAGCTCAAAAAAAAGTTCTTAAGCATTTTAAGTACCGTAACATGCAAAGATAAGTAAATTGTAACACGGCTTATGGTTTTCTTGATAGCTGAAGAGTCACATTAAACAGTACAGTAATTGGTTAGCCTGTAACTTATTAGCATGTTAAGCTTACTAGCATAAGTCAACAAACACAGGCACGGTCTACTTTGTAGAGGTATTTCTCGGGAACGGTAGTGAATATCAAAAATCTGTTCAGTCATTTCTGTGTAGCTCGGTCCAAAGATCATACGATCAGATTTTGGACAAAATTGCGCAAAATTTGAATGAGGAGTAGCGAAAATACAGTTTTACATTTACTTCAATATGGCTGACAGGCACATTTATGGAAAATGATAAATGAGACAACGTCAAAATCGGCATAACCCAGGGAATGAAATTATATTAAAACAAGGTCATTTGGACAACATTTTTAATTAATGTCTCTGGAACACTAGGTGGCGCTGTCTTCAAATTCAGAGATACTTCCGGGACATGGTGTTGATGATCCCTTCCGATTTTTGTGCATTTATGTCAAACTTCAAAATGGCGGACACATGTTTCAGACAAAATCTTGGTACAATTGACATCCTCAGATTCGGCATGACCCAAGGAATCCATAGACACCATGATCATGATTTTCTGACTGTTCAAAAGTTATAAGCCAAAATGTGCATTTTTAGTATCTCATGACCCATAGGTGGCGCTGTTCCCAACTTTGGCATGGACCCTCAGATCTTGTTGTTGATGAAGCATACCAAGTTTGGTTTCGATTGATCAAAGTTTGACCGAGATACAGCCTCTGAACCAATTTGGGTCGACCTTGTTAATTTCACAACATCATAACTTTTTATTTCACTAGTGGACAAAAAATTCTGTTCAGTCATTTCTATGCAGCTCGGTCCAAAGATCATATGATCAGAATTTGGACAAAATTGGACAACATTTCTGGGAGGAGTAGCGAAAAAACAGTTTTTCATTCAATTCAATATGGCGGACAGACACCCTGTTGGAAAATGACAAATGAGACATCGTCAGAATCGGCATAACCCAGGGAACCAAATGACATAAAAATAACAAAATTTGGACAACATTTTGCAAGAATCGTTATATCTCTGGAACAGTAGGTGGCGCTGTCTTCAGACTTCCGAGGTACCTCCAGGACATGGTGTTGATGATCCCTACCGATTTTTGTGCAAATATGTCCAATGGTTCAAAAGATATTGCAATGTATGTCAAATTTCAAAATGGCGGACACATGGTTAAGCCAATCCTGGCAAAATTGGCATCCACATATTCGGCATGACCCAAGGAATCCATAGACACCAAGATCATCATTTTCTGACTAATTCTTCAAAGGTTACAAGCTAAAATGTGCGTTTTTGGTATCTCAACACCCATAGGTGGCGCTGTTCCCAACTTTGGCATGGGCACTCAGATCATGGTTATGAAGAAGCCTACCAAGTTTGGCTTTTATTGATCAAAGTTTGGCCGAGACATAGCCTTTGAATCAATCGTCAACCTTGTTAAGTTCACAACATCATAACTTTTGAACAAAGATGAATAAAAAAAATTGGTTCAGTCAAGTCTGTGCAGCTCAGTCCGAAGATCATCTGAGACAATTTTGGGAAGAATTGGATCAATTTTGAAGGAGTAGTAGGGAATAGACTATTTACTGTACTTTTCAAAATGGCCGCTACTGTAATGGGCGGAGTCTTAATGTAAGCTATTGAATGTGATCAGCATTAGAGAGTAATCAGGTGTACTAAGTTTCATTTTTCTAGAATTAGGGGTTCAAGAGTTATTACCATTTCAATGTTGAATTTTTGAACTGGTGGTTGCGCTATAGAGTTGGTTCTAGAGACCCCAATGTTGGTCAGTTTACTATTCATGGCCATCACTACAAGTGTGCCAAATTTCATCATTTTCCTATGTTCCCTTCATAGGGCGTGCTTTTTTGGAATCTCACGACCCATAGGTGGCGCTGTTACCAACGTTGGCATATATCGACAGTTTATGGTTTTGATGAAGCACACCAAGTTTTGTGTCGATTGATCAAAGTTTGGCCGTGATACAGCCTCTGAAACAATTTCGGGTCGACCTCGTTAACTTCACAGCATCATAACTTTTTTTTTCACCAGTAGGTCAAAAAATTCTGTTCAGTCATTTCTGTGCGGCTCGGTCCAAAGATCATCTGAGCAAATTCTGGGAAGAATTGGACCAATTTTGAAGGAGGAGTAGCGAAAAAACGGAATACTGTACTTTTCATAATGGCCGCTAGAGTAATGGCTGAATTCTTAATGTAAGGTATTGAATGTGATCAGCGTGAAGAGAGGAATCAGGTGTACTAAGTTTTATCTTTCTAGAACAAGGGGTTCAACAGTTAGTAACATTTCAATGTTGAATTTTTGAACTGCTGGTGGCGCTATAGATTTGGTCCTAGAGACCCCAAAATTGGTCAGATCACTATTCATGGCCATCACTACAAGTGTCCCAATTTTCATCATTTTCCTATGTTCCCTTCATAGGGCTGCCATAGAACCCCATTGGGGAAAAAGAAGAAATCGGACAAAAACAATCGCTAATATAGCTGCAAGCAGCGATTCCGGGGCCAAGCCCGAGAAGGGCTGTAGCGCAGCGCAGAGCGGGAAGAAGAAAAACGGCAGAAATGGAACGTATACACAAAATAACAGATTGGTTCAGAAGTACAGAAGTTCAAAAGCGAACAGAGGTTCAGATGAGAATGACCAAAAGCACATTTCTGATTCAATACACACAGAAAATCCAACATCTGGAACAGAAGCAAAACAGCCACCCTGGATTTGAACCCACGACCTTAGGCATTCAGGGCCAGTGGCTTAGAAGAGTACACCACTTAGTTGATGCACATCAGACAGGCTGCATAAGAGAGGTTAAGGTGTGAGAATGATCTCACAAGAAAAAGTTTTTTATCATTCTAAACAGAGTAACATGCAAAGTTAAGTTAATTGTAATGTAGCTCATGGTTAACTTCATAGCTGAAGAGTCACATTAAACAGTATGGTAACTGGTTAGCCTGTAACTTATAAGCATGCTAAGATTACTGGCATGAGTCAACAAACACAGGCATGGACTATATTGTAGAGATATTTCTCGGGAACGGTACTGAATATCAAAAATCTGTTCAGTCATTTCTGTGCGGCTCGATCCAAAGATCTTATGATTAGATTTTAGACAAAATTGGGCAAAATTTGAATGAGGAGTAGCGAAAAAACAGTTTTACATTTACTTCAATATGGCTGACAGGCACATTCATGGAAAATGATAAATGAGACATCGTCAGAATCGGCATATCCCAGGGAATGAGAGGATATAAAAATAACAAAATTAGGTCAATGCTTTCAAAAGTTATAATCAAAAATGTGATTTTTTGGTATCTCACTACCCATAGGTGGCGCTGTTCCCAACTTTGGCATATATCGACAGTTTATGGTGTTGATGAAGCACACCAAGTTTTGTGTC